GGAGAAAATATCATTCATTCTTAAGATGAATTCAGGTCACATAATTCTTGGGCAACGAGCCGTATGATATGCCAAGAAAATCTTTCACCTTTGTTATGAAGTATTTACCATTTTGTGTTTTTTCCCCATGAACCTCCCTGCAAACGCTGTATTGAAATGTTTATTTCAGAGAGTTTCATTTTTAGCACCACTTAAGAACACCAAGGCTTAAACTCACCTTGTATTCATTCTGTTTTAGGAAAATTTGAAGGGAGGTTTTACATTAATCAGAGCGAAAGTGTTAAAGAGATACTCTTGGCCCTGCCAGCTGTTTTTTAAAAACGGTTTTGCCCCGCAAGAAAGGAAAAGTGCAAAGGGTGAGAAAGTTAGGTAGGGAAAATTTTGAACACTAGGCACAAGGGGAAAGTTCAAACATTTCCTTTTCAGCAATTCTTGCCACCCTTCCCCAGTAAATAAAATACTAGGAAACTTTACCATTATCTCTTTTATATTTAGGGTTTAGTTATTTATACGACTTTTATATTTCTCTTTTATAAAGAGAAATAATTAAAAATGTTTTTTTAAATGTGTGTTTATTTTTGTGGTGTGCCTTCAAAACCGTTCCCGACTGATGGCGACCTCATCACGCGTTTCCTGGGGCTGAGAGAGTGTGACTAGCTCTAGGTCACCCCAGGGGCTTTCCAAGGCCCAGCGGGGATTGGAGCCCCGGTCTCCAGCCACAGTGGTTGCCCAGCGTTCAAACGAGGCGTACTTTAGTCCCCCCGGGCCTTGAAACCAGGGAACGGTTTCCCTGCCTGCTAGAACTGTTCCTTCTGGGCAAGCATTCCCTCCCGCCCGACACAAAGACCGAAAAATCCCTTCCTGGGCGAGCCACCACAACAGGGCTCCCCCGACGCCGCTTCCCACGAAGGGATGGGAAGCCAGGGCTCACCCGCTGAGGGATTTTTAAGGGCCGGGGCCCTGGGCGACGACCCGCCCAGCAACGCCAGCATCGCGGCGGCCAAGGGAGCCGCGGCGGGAGGCCAAGGCCGACGCATCGTTTGGGCGAGAAACAAAATGGCGGCCTCGCTCTCGGCTCAGGGGGGAGTGGCGCACGAGGGGTCACGTGCCTCTGGAGAATGGCGGTTGACCGTTAGGGCGGGGGAGGGGAAGGGGCCCCGCCTGGGAAGGTGCTCCTTTTAAGGCACCCTGAAGAGGGGGTCCCAGCCCCCTCCCTCCAAATGCTGTATTTTGGGGTGTGGGACCCTCACAGGCTGACCAGGCGTCCTCCTTTTCCAGCACCTGCCCTACATTTCTACCTTCTGTCCAGGAGGAATCCCAAAACGTCCTCCGTTTTGCCTTTACAGACTGCCAGAAATAATGCAGTTTGAGACCACTTTAACTGCCCTGGCCCAATGCTAGGGAATCATGGGAATTGTAGGGTTTTTTTTCTGGGACATTGAGCCTTCTCTGTTAAGGAGCACTGGTGCCACTATAAAATACAGTTCCCATGATTCCCTAGCACTGAGCCAGGGCAGTTAAAGTGGTCTCAAACTGCATTATTTCTGGCAGTCTGATATCAAAGCCACAAAAACGCTCTGCAGAAATAATCCCAGTTTGAGACCTCTTTAACTGCCCTGGCTCAATCCTAGGAAATTCTGGGGACTGTAGTTTTTGTGAGACATTTTGCCTTCTGTCAGAAAAGCTACAATAAACTACAATTCCCAGGATTCCCTAACACTGAGCCAAGATAGTTAAAGCGGTCTCGAACTGGATTATTTCTTCAGTATGTTTTGGACCTAAGTAACACCACCTTTGCGGTTTTCCTTGGAGAAATTTCTCTTCTTGGCAGCCTGTCCTCCTTGCAAATAGGGGAATAAAATGGAGCCTAAAGTTATTTTTTCCAGCAGCACTCAAGACTTTTCCCCCAGAGCTTTGTTAGTTTCTCTGAGGTGAAAAGAACAGCAAACATGTTAGGCAGGGGGCACAAGGCAAAATTTGAAAGGGTTCCCTCCCCCTAATTTCAGCACAATGGACAAATGAAAGGAATAATTTCAATGTAGATATATAGTCAAGGGCAGGGTAGGCAACCTTTCCCCTTTAAGGGCCAAGGGACTTCAGCTCCCAGAAGCCTCAGCCATGTTGGCCAATAGTCCCATGTTGGCCAATAGCTCCTGGGATTCTGGGAGCTGAAGTCCCTCGGCCCTTAAAGGGGAAAGGTTGCCTACCCCTGAAGGGTTTGCTGATAGTAAAATGCCATTTTAAGCATTTGTCTTGCTCAGTTCTATATATTGTGAGCCAACAGGACATTTTAATAAAGGGTTCATCAGAAAAATAAAGTTGAGTACATAATAAAACACACTGTATGCAATACAGCTGTAAATAAGCCACATGGGATGAATTTATATCTATATTAGTGTTTCTAGCTTTTACTTTGTAATGTCCAACATTTTTCTTGCATTTCCTACATTTTGCAGTGCTGTGGTTACGGTATCTGGTTACCCTGGTTATAGGACCTTCATAATGACAGAAATGTGTGCCTCATGCAGTTTATGAAGGTGGACAATATGTGAATTTTGCAGAGAAATGCATAATTAGGTTAACTGAAATTAATACCTTCATTTGGAATTTAGGCAGAACACAAACTTGGTAATTGCTACTTCTAGGAGTGTGCATCTACACTGTAAAAATAAATGCAAGTTGACACCCATTTAACTGCCGTGGGTCCATCTGATGAGACTCTGGAGATTTGTAGTTTTGTGAGGCATCAGCACACTTAGGTAGCTAAGGCTACAGACCTTGTAAAACTACAAATCCCAGGATTTCATAAAATGGAGCTACAGCACATAAAGTGGTGTCATACTACATTATCTTCACAGTGTAGATGCACCCTTGATTATCGACTGGACTGCTCCTTGTTGCTCAGCCTGGAAACACTAGGAAGGTTGGCAAGTAGATGGATATGAGAGCCTAAATTATAGGAAAGATGGAGCGTGGGTGAATGTGTGTATTGTGTGCCTTCAAGTCGTTTTGGACTTATGGCAACCCTAAGGTGATCCTAAATTATGGGTTTTTCTTGGCAAAATTTGTTCAGAGGAGGTTTGCCATTGTTTCCCCCTGAGGCTGAGAACATGTGACTTGCCATAGTCTGGTACTTAGATGACACATAGGAGGAAGCAAATAAGAAGCTTTTGAGCCTCCCTTATACAATGGGCTGTGGCATTTGCCTGCATTCATTTAAAATGCTGAAAAGATGGTGCAAGTGGCTCGGGCGGGGGGGGGGGG